GTTTGTTATTAATACCAAGAACCATAGAATGTTCACGGCTACATGTGTAACATGCTACATTGACCAATCTGAGAGATTGGTCAGAGGTGTGGTGTGAAAGGGGATTATTTGACCTTGCTCACTAGGTGACTCACTACCAGAAAAACCAGAAGCTGGGAATTACTCTTTCATCCCATTGCAGGTGGTCCATTAATACTTTCTGCTCAAAAGCAGGCTGGCTATAATGAACTTGCACAGTATTGATTGGATCCACACTGAGCACTGAAGTAGTTTGCACCATGGACTTCACTCATCTGCATGGTACAATCATGCTTGGCATGGTTCCACATTTGAAAATTACCACAGGCTTTACATTCATTCTTAGACTTTGCTGCCTTTTAACTTCACGAGTCCTGTCTCCTCATGATTTGTTGTTTTCACTAGGACTGCATACAGACTTTCCACACCACAGTTGGACTTCTAGGCATATCAAAATTCTTGGAGCTTCATCCCTGTTACCAGTGTGATTTAATGACTACTTATGTTCTTGCCACTGGTCTGGTGATAAATTGATGAAAATCTGTTAATTTTGACATTGAGTTCTCAGTAGTCTACCAGCAATTTGATCTTCTGTACAACACAAAGCTGTTTTGTTCCAAAAAGTGAATACACCAATTAATTGGTCACCTGAGGTCTTCCTGTACTGAGGGTTTGGTTCAATTCACTTAAGTGCCTATACACACACACAATGCATTTTCCAGATGATGCAAACATTCTGATGATTGAGGACTCCTTCTCAAGTTCCATCAAAATGCTTCTCAAAATCACAGTCACTGGTCCCTGCTCTGATGATGCATCTGGTTTTTTGGGCATATCCTTCTTCTCTCATTAATGCACTAACTTTCACTAACATTGAATTCCTTCACTGCAACAGTTATTTGATGTGTTACAGCTTTTGGTTTGAAAGCAGCTTTTACTTCCTTACTTTCATTGGAGGATCCAATTCTGTTTATCATTTATTATGCTATGAGCACAGATCTGCTCTGCATGGATGTATCTTAAAACATTGTAGGAATTCTGTGTATTCAGATGCACAGTGTGGAAACAGGCTCTTTGGCCCAACAGGTCCACACTGACCCAGAGTATCCCACCCAAGCTGCACATCCCTGAACACTATGTGGATTGGCCATGCTAAAATTACCCCTGGGAGGAAACCCACACAGACACGGAATGTGCAAACTCCTCACAGACAGTTGCCCAAGGGTGGAATCGAACCTGGGTCCCTGGCGGTGAGGCAGCAGTGCTAACTGCTGAGCCACCAGTAATTTTGTTCACTTAGGTTGCAGGAATAATCGCGAAAGCAAGATCCTAATCAAGTTTAAAAACCTAGTGGATATATAGGCATAATGTGAAAAGAAAAAAGTCTAAAAGTCATGAGGTAAAGGCACAGGAATGGATGCATGATGTCAGCCCACAAGAACATGATGATTCAGAAAGCTAGTTTGAGAACCATCACATGAATAATTGAAATGGTTTTGAAAATCAATTGAGAAGGCACCATTTTAAATTTTATTTTGGAGATAAAAGATTTAAAATCATGTCCCTGTACCATTTCAAAAATGGTGCAGGAAGGGATGTCATTTTCACACATTATCCATGACTGAGAGCAATGGCATAACAATGTGTCATTATAGCTACATGCTCCTCCTGTGTATTATAATTAGAACTGTTCAGTAAAGAGATGTCAATCAAACTCAAGGTAGTGAATACCTTCCGGAGATAGGACCGTATTTTCTGAGCAACAATGTTTCACACATCCTACTAACTGCAGAGATAATTGTCCCAAATGTCCTGAGGAGCAGTAATCACTGTTGGATTGCCTTTCCACTATTTTTTATTAATAGTGAGGTCGCACATTTCTAACCAGGAATTCTGACCCTAGCTTGGTCAGTAACGCAGAAAATTCCTGAAATTAACATGGTTCTTTCATCATGCAAGATCATTGGTGAAATAATCTTTGTATCCTTGCAGTAGCTGTGTGCCATGTTCTTTTAATCTGTGTTGTGCATGGATTGTAGCGGTTCAAGGATGCAGCTCACCATCACCTTCTCCAGGGTGACAAATGCTGTCTAGTCAGTCAACACCACCCATGATTTAATTAAAACTAACTCTCCAGCAGCACTCAGCAGCTGTGAACAGGCAAGTGTGTAAGTTAAGCACAAGGTTCAGTGGCAGTTGGTTAAGGGGTTAGGGTGCTAGAAGTGTAGGGCAAGTAGGATACCAAGCAGGCAGAATTCCTTGTGCCAGCATGCCTGGTGGGTAGTATGCTGGGTAGAGTGCCAAATACATTGAGTACCAGGTAGATAGGCTAAGTAAGTGATGGAGTGTTTAGGATAGTTTATGGCAGGAGGAGTGGAAATGCTGGGGGAAAATGGGGCTGGCAGGTTCTCAGGTCTGTGGTCAGCATGGTTGAACCCTGTTTGTTTAGTGGTATTTGGTCAGGGTTAGGCTAATCAGGGATCTGTACAGTGGAAAGGGCCAGCCGAGGTGTAGTTGGCTGAGCGTGCCGAAAGTTGGAGTGAGCTTAATAGTTACCCAGGATTTAGACTGTTTTAATTGTCTAACCCTTCCTGCATAAAGTCAACTTCAGGGAAGCAAATTCTGAATTCAGTATTTGAGATTATTTTGAAGCATTTGGGATGCAAAGGGATTCTTTTGCAGAATCTTCAGTTTCTCAGACAATTTCCAGTGATACATTCTGATCACAGCTGATCAGAACACCTTCAGCAAACACTATCATGGTGATCAGCTGCAAAAGTTTAAAAAGACCATGACTGATTATCTGCATCCAGCATATCCCTGAACAAGTATATTCTTTCTGCTCATTCCAGAGATAAACTAGGACTTTCCAAGAATGCAGTCTTAAAGGCAAACAGGTTGACTTGCTAGTCATTATACATAATGTCATACTGGTACAGGAAAAGCAAGAGACTAACATGTGAATCCATCTCTCAGCCTAGCATTAATATGGACATTGATAAACTAATGAATTCATGTGAAACATGTCAACTCCACTAACCTCAACAATTGACAGAATCTCTCCTTCCACACAAGGTTCTTGAGCTGAGGGGCAAGATTATAGTTGATGGCTTCCATGACCATTGCCTCTGATGACTGATTATTTCACCAAATTCTCTTTGGTACAAAAAAATACCAAAGATACAAGCCTATTACGCTTAGTTAAAAGGAGACAGCTGGGATTTAGCAATCAGCCTCCAGATTACTACATGTGACTGGAGACAGTTAAACTGCCTGAAGTTGGCCTCCCAGTGAAAGAGCACAAAGCCAGAGCTCCAGGCAGGTCTAGTGGCCCTTTCTGGAGCAGGAACATTTGCACATCAAGCAATAGAAGGGTTTCCCCTCAGGGTTGTGCTGGCAAAATAATTTAGTTAGATTAAAGTTGTAGAGGGAGCCTCTATTTTCAAATGCCCTCTTCCTTACTTCCCTATATTACAGATTATAGCTCAACTGACAGCCTATAGTTGGCCCTTCCACCATCCTTAATTGGTTAGTGATCCCTCCTTTGAATGTTAATTATCTATTCCACTTAAATCTGAAGTCTCACTCTCCTGCCCCACACTCTTAGTCACCTTCTTCATCTTATCTTAAGATATGTGGTCATGATTGGCTCATGAAAGGGCTATGGACCACATGACCATCAACATCCAGATATGTGAGAAAGGAAAAGTTGTCCAGAGTACAAGCAGCATTTTCCTGCTAGATAAAGGTACAGAATACTAATAGACCGATGTTAGTAGATTTTTGTACATAAAAAGACAAATTGGAATAATGAAATAGTGTACTAAGAGGAGGTTGAGGTAGAAATCACCATGATTTTGTTGAATAGTAGAGCAGGTTCTAGGGCCCAAAAGGCATCTACCTGCTCAAACAGTTGAACTAGTAATAACCAAGTTGTCTGGTGAAGGACAGAACACAGGCAAGTTAGTGTTGGACAATGGGGAACAATGATGAAACCAAAATGAGAAATAGAAAACAAAAACGTTCTCAGGTAGGAAATGATTGGTCTACAGCACAACTCAGTGGCCAGACCTTGCAACTGTCTGCAATCTCAAAGTAGTTAGTAAATTTTTACAATCACTCAGGCAGCAGTATTATCAAGGAAGCGGAGATTTATAGGGTACCTTTAAGTCCATCATACAAGTGCCAGCTCTCCATAAGAGCAATTCTCCCCATACCTCTCCATTTTTTCTTTATAAATTGTCTACTTCTCTTTTAGAAGCCTTAATTGAACCAAACCTCACTGGCCTCAGGCAGACTATTCCAGATCCTATTTATGTAAACATTTTCCTCAGGTCTTCATTCCTTTTCCAAGATAAATTAAATCTGGTTCACAGCTTTCCACCAAAAGGAACAGTTTCCCCATTTGGAAGTTGTCTAGCTTCCCTTAGGATTTAAAAACCCTGAGGCCCTCTTCTTTTCCAAGAAGATTAGCCAAAGTTCTTCATCTTCAAAGCCACTCTAGTAAGTCTTTTTGGCATCCTCTCTAATGGCTTCTTGGAGTATGGTGCCTAGAGCTGGACAAAAACTCTAGTTGTCAATGGAGGGTTTTGTACAGGCTCAGTTAATTTTGTAGTATATGCCCCTATTTATAAAGCCTATGCTTTCTTAAATCATTCTCTCAACCTACCCTACTAACTTCCATAATTTGTGCATACAACCCCCAAGTTCCTTTGGTCTTGAACACCATTTAGAATAGTTACTCTTTATTACATATTGTTTCTTCTTACCAAAAGAAAACATCCCAAACTGCTCCAAACTAAATTTAATCTGCTGTTAATCCACACACTGTACAGCCTACCTTGGACTTCTTGAAATACTTCACAACTAAAGAGTTAGTATTTGCTGAATGTGCAGTTAATGAGCAACCACATTCTGCATATCATGCTAGTGGTGACTGTACCACCAGTAACTGAGGTGACTGTGCCTTAACATCTACTCACTGGGATCTTCTCACTGAGTAGTTCCAGTCCATCAGCCACAGCTGCATTGAAGAGGTGACACTAGCTCTGCCTGCCAAGAGAGCATTTCACGGTTTTCTCTGTACAGAAAAAAGCAGAATGGAAATTCCTATGTATTTGCCAGTATAGTAACCTTCTCCAAAATTAATTACTCCAAAAATTTTCTGCAATAAACTTTATCTCCGTTTGTCAGCCCATTCTAACAGCCTGGCTATATCATCTTAGTATTTGTCTTCCTGACAGTTTACACTTCAAGTTTTGACTCATCTTCAAATTTTGAAATTGTTTCCTATGTACCAAAGTCTAGGTCATCAATACAATCAAGAAAAGCAATAACCCATGAAGGACTGCACCAAATCTTTCTGCAGTCACTAAAACATTCTTATCTTGCTAAGTGCTGTTTATCAACTGAAGTGTTAATTTTATCTCCACAGACCTGCTGGCTATTTGCAGAATATCATTTTAATTTTATTCACAATGATTTGATACCTGTTGGCATAAATCTTCCAGTTGATGTTGGATATCCTCTTTCTGACATTGACTGGATAAAAAAATTATCACCCACCTTCCTCCAGGTTTTCTGGCTAATCATCCGATGGAGAGACCTGCAAGATTCAGTGTAGAAATCCTCAAAAGAGACATCAAATGAGGGAATCCACAGACACCACACTTCCTGATTTAGCACCAGCCAATATATTTTGCTAAGTAAAGGTTAGATATCTGAATTGTGTTAGAGTCAGGAAAGAAATCATGACCAAATCTATTTCATAAGTGGACAAGTCATGAAAAGTGACAAATCTGTTGCAGTAAACTTGCAGCAACGGAAACAAACATCAATTAATTTTTTTTACTTACTGCATGAAATAAAGTGTTAAAGTGATCTAACCTCAATAAATAGCTAGTGATGATTGAGAAAAGCAAAATGCTTGCAAGGATAGGCTGTTCTGTGAATTCACTATTGTAAATTATTGATACAAAACAGTTTTTATATTTCTACATGGGCCACACATCCATAATATATATTTCAGAACAACCAGAAGGCTGAAAGGAAGTGCATTCACTTTGAAAATCTGTATTCTGGCTGCCTCACTATAAGATAAATTATATAAATGTCCCTTCAAGCCACTATTGTTAAATTAGGTTTTGTCTTTGTCATTACTTCTATTTTAATTCCAGATATTGCCCAATCAACATTTAATTAATCCACAAATGTTATAGATTAGTAAAAATAGCATGATAAGTAGTTAACTATCTCAAGCTGTTGAGTTGCCTTGCCTAGTCTTATCAGCTGGGACACCTGGCAAGAATGGATTCCTGATCATTTTAATCTCATCTATGATAGGCAATTGTCAAGTTTTATCAGCATCGGAGCTCACTTAAAGTTGTAATGAAAGCTTATTGTCAGTAAGTCTCAATAATGTCCCCTCATAAATCTTTAAACTAGGCTGCAGGTAAGGCGGGGGTCAGGGGAAGGAAGGAAAGAGAGTTTTGGGAGAAGAGGGAATTTCCATAGCACAGGATTTTAAAAATTATATTTTCTGACACCTCAATAAATTTTATGTTTTAAGATATGCTTAAAGGGTTTAGAGAATTAGAAAAGTGGGCTGATAAAACAACAGGGTAGATGAGGGAAGTGGGTAGGTTAGTAGTTGGGTCAAAGAGAGTTGTTGGATTCAGAGGAGGACTTGGGGAATCAAACAAAAAGTTGGGGTCAGGGAATGTGAGGAGAGTTGGGGGATGAACCTTATCAACCTTTTTGGATGGAAGAACTTGTTAAGTGTGTACAAATAAATTCTGATTCAGTATGTGGATGTACCTGCTAAGGAAGGTGCAAAGCCTGACCTATTTTTGGCAAATAAGGCTGTGCATGTGATGTGTCATCAGTGGGGGAGCACTTTTGAGACCAGTGACCATATTTCTAAATGAATAGAAATAGTGATGGAAAAGGATAGACAGGATCTAAAAGTTAAAGTTCTAAATTGGAAGAAGGCCAATTTTAATGATATTAGGCAAGAACTTTCAAAAGTTGATTTTGGTGGAAAGGGGAAAGGTGGGAGTAGGGCAGTTGTTTGCAATCTCCCGAGTACCAGCCTACATGTCTTCAGACTTAAGTCAGGCCTTGTAGGATTCCATTGCTGTCACAAGTTTGCATGCTGGCAGCAACTACAACAGCTCACTGGCCCAGATCCTGAAGAACTGTTTAGCCACTTGACTGAGGCTTTGCTGTGAACTGCCTCAGTGGCCTTTCCTAGGGTCCCTGTGCTCAGGATCTACCTTGCATGAGGCTCAGATTGTCTACACTTAAGTGGTGTTCCCCAAGTTTAGTTGGACAGGTGAGGGAGTTCACTTCCATTGCAACTTCCTATTCTCCACTTGCTGCATTTTCTAATAAAAGGCCAGCTGCTGTACCTGTTTGAATTCCAGTTGGACTTCAGCTCAGCAGGCACTTCTGTATGGGTACATCATTAATCCTACATACCAAATGGTCTCTCAGCATCTTATTCAGGAGTAACCAGTCTTCTCAACCTCAAATTCCAGCACAGATTGCCCCAGTTCTCTAATAGCTGAATAGAGAAGGTAGCATCTCAGGATTAGAGAAGGTTTGGTGCCATAATATTCCTTAACCAGCCTTGTCAACTCTTGGAAGGTTTTAGTTTCTGGTGCCTCAGGGAAAGTCAAGCCCCTTAACCAAAAATACTGCAGTTCCACAAGCAGCCAGAAGGATTACTCATTGTTTTTCATCTGCCCCAATATCATTTTCCTGGAAAATATCACATTCTTTCCATATACTGGGTCCAGTCTTCAACAGCAGGATCAAATGAGGCATGATGCTAGAAATGCTTACCCCAAGCTCCAAGGTAAAAGTTGCAGGCAAATATTTTTCAAGCAGATCTTGTTTTCTCCCATCACCACTAAAACAACTGCACAGAGATCAGTGTCCCATCACCAAGTCACTCTTTATTTACTAATGTACAGTACTGTGACCAGCCAACTCAGTCAGTCCTCAACTGAGGAGACTCTAATTTCCTGGTTATATTGGTCAGCCAAGGCTAACAAACCCAATCAACAACCTCACAGTCAACGAGGTCCACCCAGTTCCATTCACGACAATGTTTGAGATGCCATGACGTACAAGGCTATGGGCCAAATGCTGGAAAATGGGATTGGAGTAGTTAGGTGGCTGTTTTTGGCTGATGCACTCAATGGGCCGAAAGGCCAATTTTTTGTTCTATGGGCCTCTATGAATTGGAATTAGAATTAGCTTTATTGTCACGTTCACGCGAATGAGTGCTCTGAAAAGCTTGCAATGTCGCTGCTCATGGCGCCATCTTAGGTATAAGATACCTAGGTACTGATACTCAAGTATTTAGGTACATACTTGAAAGAATAATAAATAAAGTCCAGCATAAGAATACAAAGGTTTTCAACAGTACTTGAATTTTTCAAAATCCAGCACAAGAATAACATTTTTTAAAAAATTACTCGAATTGCAGACCTTTTCACCAAGTCCGTGCCAATACCAAGCCTCCAAACCACAATGGGGCAAGTCTCCAGACCACGCCGGCTTCCAAAACTCAAGGCCTCGCTTCCAGTCTGCAAAGGCCTTGCCTCCCCCGCAATGGCCGCCAGTCTGGGACTCACCTCCCCGCAATGTCCTCCAGTCTGGGACTCACCTGCGCATGATGGCCTCCACTCTGGGACTCACATCCCCACGATGGCCTCCAGCCTGGGACTCACCTCCCCATGATGGCCTCTGGCCTGGGACTCTCATCCTCACGATGGCCTCCAGTTTGGGACTCACCTCCCCGCAATGGCCTCCAACCTGGGCCTCATCTCCCCGTGATGGCCTCTGTTTCGGGAATCACCTCCCGATAATGGCATCCGGTCCAGAACTCACCTCTCATGATGGCCTTTGGTCCAGGACTTGCCTCCAGGACTCACCTCCTGTGCTGGCCTGATTGCAGACTCACCTCCAGAACTCACCAGCGACATCCCCTGGTCTGGGAGTTGCCTCCTCCTTTCTCTCTGGGTAAGTTTGGAAGATGAAAGTTTGGGAAGAAAAGAAAAACTGCAGAAAAGAGGAGAAAGAAAGAAAAGGTACTGGTGGAGGAGAGGAGCTCCGGCTGGAGCGTCCTACTCTGCCACCATCTTGCAGGTGTACTTGACTTGATGACTTTGATGATGAGGAGATTCAGAGGTGGCTGAACCTTCCACCTCTAGCTCACCTGCCACTCTCAGCGTTGTGGAATTCAAGAAGGGGAGGGTGCATGTCTGGGCCATCTAGATAGAAATGTTCTCAAAGTCACCCAAACAATTGGCCAAGGTCAACAGTCTCCACTGTTAGGCAGGGTCCTTCCTACCCTGTTGTAGAACATAGAAATGCACTGAGACACCGTGAGAGAGCAGAAAGAAGAAAGAGAGCAGCTAGGTGTCATGGGTGACATATGACTGTAAATAAGTTTCCACTTTGTAAATACATCTTAACTTTCACCATCAGCTTTCTGTTTGGGTCCCAGTCTAGCCACACTTACAACATTGCAGATTCAGAGTGTTTATCAAGCTTTGTTATGATCTGTTGCAAGGATCACAACCTCACCCTCCTGCAAGCATTACCCTTGCATCTGGCACACAGTGGGCAGTCAGATTCTTCTCATAGCAGCAGGAGAGCAGGAATTGGGCCAGAAGGTAAACATTGGAGTGCAGTCTTGTGAAGTACAGTGAAAAGCAATCTTGGGAGAAGCAACTGAGTAGTGGTGTGGTGAACAATGCTTAGCCACAGTGTGGCTCAGAAGCTGGGGACTGTTCATGTTTTATATACTAGAGTACAACCATTGCAAACTAGTGGAATCCAGTCTCAGAAGTAGGTCAGATCAACTGGAAAAGATGATTAGGCGTGGGAGCAGATTTGTAGGAGATCTGGATTGTATACCTATTGAACGAAGATTGTAGACATAGGATTCAGCTGGAATACAGCTTCTGTTAACCGGGGATCATACTAGCACCAAGAAAGAGAGAGGGTGAAATTCCTCATGAGGGAAACAGAGATTTAAAGTGCTTTTATGAATCACAATGATCACTTTCATCTGGGTGAGTTGCTGAGAAACATGCGGCATCTTTTTTGGTTTACCTGCCATTTAATGTGCAGTTTATGCTATGTGGGGCCACAGTTTGTGTGTTAATCCATATTTACCTTGTGTTAATTCTTGATGTTAGAGTATAACCTGTATACATGTTGTACAGTGTTTTACTTTTCTAGCTTGCATATTTGATCAAAACAGTGGAATATTGCAACTTTATTTTCTTAGTAAATTGGAGATTTCATAAAATGTCTACTTGCACAAGACCAATTAGCGATGAAGATTAAATACTGACCCTTCCAGCAATATATTGCATCCCATCAAAAAATGTAATAAAAGAGAGAGAGGGAGTAGACCACCATTGCTTCCAATTTGTCACAAATTGTTCCATGATCGCATATTTAATTGAACGCAGTGAATGCAACCTCAATTCATCATTCATCAGCAATCCCACATCTTACCTTCCCTCTGTTACTGATCATCACAGTGTCATCGTAGTCACAATTCTAAAAGAAACACCAGTAGGGAACAAACGTTGCAAATCAAAATTATGAATCAACCATTGTCATGTTGCTTGGTTACACGGCAGATCTCTCATCACTTGGTCTGTAAATGAGTCTGCAAATTGGATTCAAGAGACTGCATTGATTTCTAGTTTTTAATAATGAGAAATAAGAAACTTGTCGACAAAATATTTATTCAACAAACAGAGATTTTTGGAGAAACTCAGCAGGTCTGACAGAAACTGTGAAGAGAGAAACATGTAAAGAAACATTTATTTATACTTGATAAAATGGGCATAATATTGCCTAAGGCCATGATATTGCTATGATGAATAGCATATGTTTTAGACTAATATAAGCTGATGACAGAGGTCCCAAAGTAGCAATCAGAAACTTACTATGCAGCACATACAGGTCACAGCCTGAAACAATATCATTACTGACAATTATTTGTATATAGGATTTCCATTCACCATACATATGGGTGTGGGATGTGAATGGCTCTTATAGCTCATCAATTTTCCATGGTGCTGTTGCTGGCTTTAATAGCTGATGCATCAATCAATAACACCGTGATTAGTAAACCCACCCTTTTGAAATTTAATTCAAGTCAAACAGCAAAAGACATTCTATATAGCAACTGAAATTATATGATTTATTTTATTGACAAAGCATTTTTTTCCAACTGCAGAATAAGGTCAACCATTTGCACTCAAAAAATATTTTACAGTACACCAAGCTTACAAATATACAGATGCATAAAGATTTGTGTACATGGTTATACATTACAAGTAAATTGGAGCCTTTACGTTAAACTTTATTTACAAATGGCACAAAACCCAGGCGGAGAATAGCAGGATACGGAGCATGAGCAGGCAGACAGGATTAGTTTAGAACAGCACCATGGTTGGCGCAGGCATGGCAGGCTGAAGGGCCTGTTCCTGTGCAGTTCGGGGTTCTATAATAAGAACACAATCTCTTTTTTTGGCACTCTGCTAAATATTGAAAACTCCCAGCTACAACAAGGATTAGATGCAGAATAATAACTTCTCCATGGGACCAGAGGGTTTGAGCCATAAGGAGAGGCTGGGGAGGTTGGGACCTTTTTTCACTGGAGCATAGGAGATTGAGGGGTGACCCTATGGAGGTTTACAACGTCATGAGGGGCATAGATAAGGTGAATAGCAAAGATCCTTTACCTAGGGTGGGGGAGTTCAAAACTAGGGGAACTATTTTTAAGGTGAGAGGAGAAAGATTTTAATGTGACCTGACGAGCAACCTTTTCACACAGAAAGTGGTTCATGTGTGGAATGAACTGCCAGAGGAAGTGGTAGATGCAGGTACAGTTACAAAATTTAAGATATTTGGATAGGTACATGAATAGGAAAGGTTGCCTGGGCCAAACACAAGGAAGTAGGACTAGTTTAGTTTGGGAAATTTGGTCAGCATGGATGAGTTGGACCAAAAGGTCTGTTTCTTTTCTGTATAACTCCATGACTCTATGATACACGATCCTATCAAGCATTACCAAGGCAGTTATGGGATGAGTTAGATACTGGGTAAAATCCTTTTTGTAATGTGGCTTAACCCCAATCCCAGAACAATATCCCGACAGCATGAGGGAGAGATTTTTGCTCTAAAGCAGCTTCAGAGGGAGATCAGCAATGTGTTGAGAAGTGCTGAATTCAGGGTGGTTTTGTTCTGCCTGTATGTGGAATGTACAAAATTACTTACACGTACATTTCTTCAAATAAAAGTAACACATTTTGGGAGGAGAACCTAAGCCAGAAACATGTGACTCTTCTGCAATTGATGCAATAATGTGTTTGAACGCAATCCATCTGTGTTTATTACATAGCTATTTATAATCCGATTAAACATATTTAGCAAATCATCTTTCTTGAAGGTCCTGTTAAACCTCTGACAGCAGTTTACTTTGTATCTCTGCAGGCGTTAGACAAGAAACTTTCACTCAGATTGTAACTCAGAACTAAAGATGAATCTACTGTGTTCCTTTGGCTTTTGTCAAAAAGCAGCTAAACATACCAGAAAGAATAAATTCAACAGAAAACACAATTGACTTAGGAATTACATCATACACAATTCACCATGTCTTCATGCCTTGTCTTGGTTTATCCAAGAGGTAAAGTATATGCCTTATTATATAGGCTGGTTAGAATATGAGTGGCAGGGATCTGACATGTGGTTACCTGAGAGAACACAGAATAAGAAAAGTAATACACAACAGGAATATTTCCCTTTTACCCTTCCCCCTGCTCCGTACCCCATGTGAAATTAAGTAAAACAGAGACATTTTACAATGCCACTGGGAAAACAATTTGAAATCTCTGAAATGTAGGTTAATAATTCATATTATTCTTTTATGCAATTTGGTCAAGGGTAATT